GGCCCTGGCACTGGGGCAGGTGCTGACTTCTGTGCTGTTCACTCTTTCTGCAGCTCTTCAGCAGCGACGTGCTGGCTCTGCTGGAAACCTGGACGCCGCAGGAGTGGCCGCCTGCTTGAAGGGTCGAAGGGACAGTGGATGACTGGCAGACACCCTGTCTGAGCACAGAGACTTTTCCTTTTGCCTCCGCACCTTCGAAGCGCGTATTTCCTGGAAGAGGCGCCAGCGATTCTAACGTGGGCATGCCCTGCTTGGGAGGAGGGACCCATAGGGTAAACGCGCTAAAACTGAAGCAGGCACAATACTCTGCTTGGTGTATATTTATTTATTTTTGAATAAACCGTTTGTGCTGGTGTCTTTTTGGTGTTTGTGTGTCCCGTCCGTCCCCGGTCCCGCGTCGTTACCCCTCCCTCCATTCTCAACATGTATCTGTGGGTCGGTCTGGAAGGGGTAGGGTAGAGTGGAGTGGAGTGGGGCTTGCTGCTCTCAGGTGGGAGAAAGTAGTTCATCTCCTTTGAACTTAGGGAGAAACTGGATAAAACCAGAATGCTTCTGTAAGAAATCCAACTCCATCAGTGTCTTGTGCCTTCCTTATGTTTACGTGTATTCTACAGAAGCATGAAGGTCAAGACTCAGATCCTTGTAGGACTTGGGCATTGGAGCACTCAGCCATGGGAGGCTATTCATTCTGGGCAGCTGGGCTGCACGGGGAGCTTCCCTCCGACATGGACTGGAGATAGAAGTAGCATTGGCAGGGGAGTTTTCCTTGGAGGCCTGGCTAGGGTCAAGTGAAGGACTTGTTGATTGCTGACCTGTGCTGGTGAAATTCACATCGGGAATAAGCAGCCTAGAAGAGAGACACCTGGAGCCCATTAAGAGAGAGACTGGCATCAACCCACCCGGGAGGAGGGTTGAAGAGAACAGTCCTGTGGGGGCACTTATAGCCTCTACTAAGGGCTCACTCTCAGGGCAACAGCTCTCCCCATCAACTGTCCGAAATTTGGGCCTCGGGATTTGTTTTTTTTTTAATATGCGTTTTATTGAGATATACCACAAAACTCAGATTTTCTTTGTTTTGTTTTGAGATAGTCATTCAGCCAAGGGTGGCCTTCAACTCATGACTCTCCTGCTCTCACCTCACAGGAGTGCTGTGGTGACAGATGCCTGCCACCACAAGAGGCTTTAAAAAGCACAACTCGAGGGTTTGGGCATATTCGTAGAGTTGTGCAACTATTCTCACTAATTTTAGAGTATCTTTTTATCACCTCCAAAAAGAAGCTACTGGCCAGATGTGGTGGTGCACACCTTTGATCCCAGCACTCAGGAGGCAAAGGCAGGCAGATGTCTGGAGTTCAAGGCCAGCCAGGGTAACATAGTGAGAACTGTCTCAAAAAAGACTAAGAAAGAAGCAACAGCTACCCATTAGCTCTACTCACTACCCATTAGCCAGCTCACTGCAGTAACACTTTTTGTCTCTAATGAAATTTATCTGTTGTAAACATTTCATTTTTTTATATATAAAGCAATATACAGGCTGGGTGCATGCCTTTAATCCCAGCACTTGGAAGGCCGAGGCAGGCAAGTCTCTAAGTTTAAGGCAAGTCTGGTCTACAGAGTGAGTTCCAGACCATTCAAGGCTGGAGAGACTCTGTCTCAAAAAAACAAAAACAAAAAGGAACGTACAGTGTGGTTTTGTGAGCGTGGCTTTTTTCTGAGTATGTTTTCAAGGCTTGCCCAGATTGGTGCATGTTGGTGAGCTTCATCCCCTATTACTCAATACTTCATCCTTCACAATTATCCATTCTTCTGTGGTCAGGTTTGTTTCAAATCACCTGGGGAATCTACTCCAGAACTCTGGCTCAGGCCAGGAGGGGAGGCCATGCTGGGGGGAGGGGGTAGGAGGGATTTTGTTCTGCAGCTCTGGGGTCCAGGCCTGAGCACTTCATACAAGGGCTGGTGTTTGGCTGCAGAGAGAGTGACCCAGAGGAGATTGCCAGGGGGTGGGGGATCTCACACCTTCACTGGTCACTCCCTTTTCCAATACTTCTAACCCCGTTTGACACTCTCCTCCCAGGACCTTAACTGGTTCAGGACAGGAAGAAGTCTTCCTGGCCCTGGAGCCAACCCAGTGTGGAAAATCTATTTGCAAAGTAAAGGCCCAGTGTTTTAGGATGGGGAATTAAAGTTATTAGCAAGTCTTTTCACAGCTAAGTGGAGCTCATTGGCCAGCCCCTTTCCCTGCAGAGGGCCTCTTCTCTGAGGGGCCTGGGAGCAGCCCACTGTTTATTAGCACCTGGGTGTGAATTTTCATTAACAGGTCCCTGATAATAGTGGCTGGGACACAGAATTGTAGATAGAAAAGGGTCACCTCCCACTGCTCCCAGGCCCCATCCCCCCCTTCCTGGTCCAATCAGCATCTGGAGTAGACTCCAAGTGAGGACAACAGTAACCCTGACCCAGGAGGGCACTCCCAAGCCTGTCACCCCGGTTCTCAGCCAACCTCAGAAGTATCCCAATTACAAGTCCAGCTTAAAGGAAAGATCACAGGCCATACAGATGCTAGGTGTCTGCACTGGTGGAGCTTGCTTGGGTGCTAGACAGCACCTCAACTCCGAGTCCTTTGCAGAGTCTGGAGAGGTCAAGGACAGGAAGCTGGGCATGAGAACACAGGCTCCAGGCCCAGGGCTGTTCACTCTGAACCCTGCTGGCCTGGCTGTCTTTCTTCCAGTGGGGGAGGCACTTTCTCCATCTGACCTGATTGGCAGAGCCTGGGTGGCAGAGGACCAGTGACTGCAGAACAGTTGCGGCTGGCTGGGCTGAGTGCCCATGGACCCAGACTATGCCTTGTCAAGTCCCTGTAGCTGCAGAGCCCCTGTGAGAAGGGTGGTACTTACTGCTGCCTGTCAGGTATGGGTCAGGAGGCAGAAGTACAAAGAAAAAAAGAGATGTTGCTACCATGGACCTACTGGGGGCCTGGACAACCACATAGCTGCTCAACAGACCCAGTGGCACACTAGCATGTGCACAAACGGGCCACATAATATAAGCTCCTAGGGCATCCTGGCCAGCACTGTAGACAGCTGATAAGCCAATGCTGATAAGCCAGTGACCTACTGGGGGCCTGGACAACCACATACCTGCTCAACAGACCCAGTGGCACACTAGCACGTGCACAAACGGGCCACATAATATAAGCTCCTAGGGCTGTCCTGGCCAGCACTGTAGACAGCTGATAAGCCAATGCTGATAAGCCAGTGTTTTAAGGAGCAGCCAAGCTGATGGTTTAATAAGCAAGCCAGGAGAGATGTCTCAGTGGGTAAGAGCACTAGTTGCTCTTTCAGAGAACAGTATCCACATGGGAGCTCACAACAGTCACCTCAGTCACAGTCTATGACTAGAATCTGACACCCTCTTCTGGCCTCTGCTGGTACCAGGCATGCTTGTGGTGCACTGACAAACATGCAGGCTAAAAACCCATACGCAGGAAGAATAAAAATTAGTATTCAAGCCATTGTTATCTGAGGATGTAAGAGGGATGCCATCTGAAGGCAGGGCAGAGGAAGAGGGGTGGTGTCCAACAGTGTCCTCATCAGCAGATGATGGATGGTCCCTGAGCAGGCTGGAGGGATGGCTTAGCATCAGATAGAAGAAAAATGGGGCCGATGGGGTCCTCAGAGAGAATGAGAAAGTGGCCAAGCTCAGACTGGCTGCATGTGGCGAGATCACTGGTTTTCTGGCCACACATGGCAAAAAAAGCTTATCTACCTGGGTGAGGGCACAGCAGGCTTGTGAAACCCAGAGAACTGGAGAGTTAAGGGTTAGCCTCATCTAACCATAAAGCCCTATTTGTCCAGGGGCCAGGCCTGATGGCTTTATCTACACATTCCCTCTAGTGCTGGCCACACAGAGAGGGGATGCTATATTAAGTTTTGTACCTGTGTGCTGTGTGCATCCCCTTGGACCTGCTCTCCCCTTGATGTTCCTCAGGACTTCTGTCATCTCAGGGAAGAGCCTCTCTTGGAACTACCGGCCTCCTCCTCAGTGAAAGGCACACAGACACCTAGATAGGGCCTTGAGCCCTCATGGCCTGGAGAGGGCTTGGCCAGGTCTGGCTCCTTCTTGCTGGTCTCATTGTGGGTGCCACACCTAAGTGTTTGGATTTCAGGTTTCCTATTCCCATCTACACACAGGAATAAAGAGGGCCTGTGTCACCGGCAGACATGACAGTTGTGCCCTGGGTGCCAAGGATGCTGTTTGTGCCTGGGTATGTGTGTGTTGGGGTGCTCACCCCAGCTGAGAGCCTAGCTGAGGGAGACGTGGGAAATTCACATTACCTCCACGATGTTCCTGGGGCTTCAGAAGTGTTACTCCTGGCTGGCTGCCACTCCAGCCGGCCAAGCCCCTTGGTGACAGTGGAGCTAGGTGTCTGGCTTGTAGGAAGGTTGATCAGGCTGTTGGAAGTTGGTCCAACCAGTGTAACCTGGGGCTGCTCCCCTCTGTAAGTCAAGGACATCATAAGGGCTGAAGTGTGAAGCCTGGCTCTGAGCATTGGGAGCTGTGCTAGGTCAAGGTTGAAGACCCAAGGCTCCCACCTCATCCCAAGGAAACACTGTCAGGGAAGGAGAGAAGTGAGGGGGAGGGAGAGAGGAGGGATGGTAGGAGAGGGAAGGGGAGAGGGAGAGGAAGAAAGAGGAGGAGGAGGGGGAGGGAAGGAAAGAGGGGGGACAGACGGATGGACAGAGGGAGGGACACAGGGACTGCGGGGTGAGTTCTCATTCCCATTGAGAGAGGAGAGGGCACAGTATTATCCCGGGACATTCGGATGGTCGATATTAGTGCCAGCCAGGGCAAAGCATGTGGCCCAGGAGAGGAGGTGGATGGGGCACCACGAAGCAGCAGCACAGACCTACCAGGTCGGCAGGGACCCAGAAGGGAGCTCCTGGGTTAGTTAGCCTAGGGCCAGGCTGGGAGGGAGCCTCCTGCAGTTCTCAACATGACCACATGGTGTCCTCAGAGAAACAGACATTCCCCTGAGCAGCAGGGAGTGTTGTGGCAGTTCTCCCGAGAAGCGCACTCTCTGGTGAAGATCCAGGTAGGTGCCTCTCCATCCTCCTCAGTTCCCCGGGATACCCAGCCTCCTCTAGCGGTCCACCTCCCACCAGGCCCCGACTCTCTGACCCTGCCTCCCAAATCTGTGTGGCTTAAGGTTATCCCACCACTCACCTCCACTCTTCTGGCCCTCCATTTTCTTTCTTCTGGGGCACCTAACCCAGGACCTTGGTCATGCTGAATACACACTTTCCCACAGCCCTTCAAAGAGATTCTGTGAAGAAAGGCTTCGAGTGCAGTAAGGGTGTGGAAAGAAAAGGGGCCACACGGTGGCTGGCAGGCTGGGAGGGG